AATAAAACAGATGAAAAGTCTCGGGGAGCAAAACCTGTGATTCTTTTTTTTTTCTTTTGGTACCAGGGATTGAATTCACAACCTCACCCTTGCCAGACAGGTACTTAAGCTGCTGAACTAAATCCCCAGCCCAAAACCTGTGATTCTCTTATATACATACATATATATATATATATATATATATATATATATACACACACACATACATACATATCTGTGATTCTTAACATTATATTTTGCTAAAAAAAATTAGAATATTTTTAAAAAATCTGCACCTGGGCTAAGGATGTGGCTCAGTGGCAGAGCTCTTACCTTGCATGTTCAAAGCCCTGGGTTTGATCCTCAGCACCACACACACACACACACACACACACACACAAACCACCAACAAAAGGAAACAAAAACAATCCCCCCCCCTCGCCGAAATCAAGAATAACAAAAACAGCACCTTGTTTTTCTATTTCCATCATTTGAAAATAAAGGACTTTTTTCCGTGTGTATTGGGGCTGGGGATTTAGCTCAGCGGCATAAGCGCCTGCCTTGCAAGCACGCAGTCATGAGTTCAATCCCTGGTACTGATAAAAATGAAAAAGACCAAAAAAAAAAAAGAAAAGAAAAGAAAATAAAGGACTTTTTTTTCGCGTGTATCTTTTTGAGATAGGATTTCACCATGCAGTTCAGGTTGGCTCGAATTTGCTTGTATCTCAGGCTGGACTTGAATTTGCAAGGTTCCCTGCCTCAACCTCCTGAGTGCTGGGATCAGAGGTACACATCACAAGGCCGAGCATTTTTTTGTTTTTAAAGAGACAGAGTCTCTGTGTGGATCAGGCTGGCCCCAACTCTTGGATTCTCTTGCTTTCCAAGTAGCATGTAGCTAAAGCATGGGTGTTTCCCTGCATGCTGGCTTAATTTGTTTTGGTGGTAGTACTGTACTAGGGTGTGAACCTAGGCCCTTTACAATGAGCTATATCTCCACTGGAAACCTGGAGAATTTGATAACCTTAGCCTTATTTTATGACATAATCTTTGACAGTCTAAAATTTGCAGCTGGTGGGGCTAGGGATTTAGCTCAGCGGCATAAGTGCCTGCCTTGCAAGCATGTGGTCCTGAGTTCGATCCCCAGTCTGATAAAAAATAAAAAAATTTGCAGCTGGTGCCAGGTATGCTAGTATATACCTGTAATACCAGGATTTGGGAAACTGAGGCAGGCAAAATTCACTGTGAGTTCAAGGTCAGCCTAGGATACACAGTAAATTCAAGACCTTCCTAGAGTACATAACAAGACCCTGTCTCAAAAAAACAAAAATGAAAACCAGGCCGGGGATTTAGCTCAGTGGCATAAGCGCCTGCTTGGCAAGCTCGAGGACGTTAGTTTGATCCCCAATACAAAGAAAAAAAATTGTAGCTGGAAGTGGTGATACACACCTGTACCCCAGCATTTGGGAAACTGAAGCAGAGGATTGTCTCAAATTCTAGGCCGGAGTAAACCACACAATGATACCGTGTCTCATCCTATCCCCTAAATAAGGTTAAAATTTCTCAAACTTTTTCTAATTTTCTTTCTTCACCCCTACCCATTATATTTATCCAGAAGGATCTCTGCTTTCCACCATAAGTCAATGATATTGGAACTAGAAGGGACTTCAGATGTTAATATGGTCCAACTTCCTTATTTAACAGGTTTGGAAATATACTCAAGAGTGAGAAAATGGTCTTCTCTTTTTCCTTTCCTCCTCTTTCTCTGGTCTGGAGCTAGGCTTTTGTTCTTCTCCTTATCTTCTGAGCAGATGTCATAGACTACTTTGCCTTTCCCAAACATCTCTACAGGATTTGGACTCAAAGACTTCAGATATTTTTCTCTCTGATTCTTTTTTTTTTTTTTTTTTTTTGTCTTTTTCCTTTGTTATTGGTACCAGGATCGAACTCACGACTGCCTGCTTGCAAGGCAGGCACTTATGCCTGCTGAGCTAAATCCCCAGCCCCTTTCTCTCTGATTCTTTAACTGTGTGTAGAACATTTCCATTGGCGTTGTGCCTTCTCCTTCAGCCCAACATGCCCAAAGATAAATTTATGGAGGTAGTGTAGCTCAGCAGTAGCATCTTCTAGCACACACAATGCCCAGGTTCAATCCTTAGTACCATGGTGGTGGGGGACAAAAAAAAAAAATGATGCATTTTTGCACCACCACAAATCACACCAGAAAAAAGCCACCTCTCTATTTAACTGTTTAAATCAAATCATCTCCCCTGATACCATCTTCTTTAGTGACTCCCCTTCCCATTCAATCACAAAGACCTTTTTATCTTCTAAAACTTCTCAGTTTGGTCCACTTTTCACTGTTTTCACTGCTACTGTGTTTGACCATACCACAATTTTTAAAAATTTTTTATCTCTTTGAGACAGGGTTTTGCTACGTAGTTCAGACTGGCCTTAAACTCACTTTGTAGCCCAGGTCTTAAACTTGGAAATGATTCTCCTGCCTCCGCCTCCCAAGCGCTGGTATCATAGGTGTGTGCTACTATGCCTGGCATAAACTGAACTACTCTACACATTGCCTGGCACTCAATACTTGTTAATGGAGAAGCTGAAACCATCCAGTGGCAGAGCTAAAAGAAGAATATGAATTCATTTCCAGTATTCTTTTTGCCAAGCCATAAAATGATATCACACAGTCCAGACTTCCTTTTCCTTTTCCCAGTGTTTAAATACACATCTGTGTATACTGTTTTTTTCAGGAGCCTATTAAAGTCAATCTGGTAAACTAATCGACCTTTAGAGATTACCCTGCCCCAGGATAAATGCCTTTAACTAGGAACTCCTGGAGAAAAGAAGGTAATCCTAGGGGAACTAATCAAAATTTCTTGCACCATGAGATTATTGGAAGGGAAGAATTTTTACTTATATCCCTTAACGAGATCACAGGAATAAAACCTACAATGTGCCAGACATAGTCTAATGTCTGTTTGTTTTTTTAATTTTGCAACAAAACCTGTATGTTAGCTGCCGGGGATTTAGCTCAGCAGCATAAGTGCCTGCCTGGCGAGCACATGGTCCTGACTTTGATCCCAGGTACAAAAAACAAAAAACAGAGCCGGGTGTGGTGGCTTACACCTGTAATTCCAGCACTCAGGAGGCTGAGGCAAGAGGATTGTTGCGAGTTCGAGACCTTGGGCTACAAAGTGAGCTCAAGGCCAGCCTGAACTGCATAGTCAGACGTCTCTCCAAAAGAACAACAAACAAACAAACAAAAACTCTCAATCCTGTATGGTAGGTATTATTCTGTGTATTTAATTTTCCCCATCTCTGGTGGGGAAGTGGGGAAGCCAGTAGTTAGGCTCTCCCCTCCTAGGATGATTCTTTGTCTAATTCTCTGTTTACAATATCATGTTGCCTCCTACAGTAAGTGTAGACAACTGCTTACACAGTTTATATATAAATATGGGCCATGGAGTTAACTGGGTGATTAATTAATAAAAAGTATTACCAGGTTTCTTTCACTCTATTAGTGGGATCTACACTCTGACACTTGACATTTTAACATCTCCACCAGAAATCTTTCATCTCTGGTACTTAACCTTGTTCATTTATCTATCAATGTGATCATGGGCAGAAAAAACGTGCTTTGAACAATTTGAGCAAAATTATGATGTAAAACTTAAGACGCTATTTATTTTACTTCGGAGTTCACCAGAGCTCCCATATCCTGTGAAACAATGAATAGTACATTACTAATATTTGCAATAACAAAAGTTACCAGAAGATAGCTTTCCTAGAGTCAAACGACCTTCTCTGATTAAAAATGTTTTTACCAGGGCTGGGGATTTAGCTCAGCGGCATAAGCACCTGCCTTGCAAGTAGGCAGTCGTGAGTTCGATCCCTGGTACTGCTAAAAACGAAAAACACAAAAAAACAAAACAAAAAGTGTTTTTACCAGCCGGGCATACAGCTTAGTGGCACAGTGCCTGCCTGGCAAGCACGAGGTCCTGAGTTTGATTCCCGGTACAAGAAAAAAGAAAAAAGTTTTTGCGTATCTCATGCATCTCCTTTAGACTGATTCCTGAATACACAAATACACTTATGGGGATGAGTAGCCAGCTGTAGGGTCAGATGCATCTATTTAATAGCTTTGTAACCGTGGGCAGATTACTTAACCTTTCTGTTTCCCCCATTGTGAAATGGAGACTGATAGCTATTCTGCAGCAGTTGAAAGCCTTTCATTTGTTTTGAAGCACTTAAGGACAAAGGCTGACCCACAGCAGGTATCCCAAACAGCATTAATTTTCATCCTCTTCTAGTTCAAGAACATTCCCTCCCGAGATCCACAGATTTATAGGTCTACTAAACTTGGAAGTACAGTATATATAAAAATTTGTGATGAGTGAAGTATCTTTTTCTTGGAGACAAAACCCAGAATTTAATAAATTACTTTGGGGTCAGCGGCTTCCTTAAAAAAAAAAAAGACTATAGGTTCTCCATCCAAAGCTAAGGTGTGACTTTCTTTCGCGGAGGGGCCGTGGTATTTTGTTGTTTTTGCAGTGGCTGTATTGCTCGCTGGGCACTCTGCGGTCCTCTCGCAGAAGAGAATGACCACGCTCGTGGGCAGGGCTCCCAACGTTTTCGTTTCCTTGGAGGTTCTGGGATCTCTGTTCGGGTTCGCTTCCGAATGGGGGTGGGGGTGTCATTGGCAGCTGAGGAGGCGGCTTATTTTAAGGTCTCTCGGGCTGCCGAGGCAGCTGTCTTGCTGAGAAACAGGAATCTGTGGATTTCCTCAGGCTCAATCTTTTCTCTCTAGGTGTTAGTCAAAATCTCCAGCTAAGACCCCGGCCGCCCGCACCGTCCTAGGCCCCAGTCGCGAGGCGGTGGGGGCGGGAAGGCTGAGCGCGCGCGCGCCGCTTCCGCTCCTCCAATCCACTAGAGGGCGCTGCGGCACCGCCTCCGCCTTCCCGCGGTGCTTCGCGCCGAGCCCCTTCCGCGTGGGTGACTGAATGTGAGAGTCAGCGCTCGCGCTGCGCGCGCGGTCCGCCTTCGCCGCTCGGCGCCCTTATTTCGGCTGCGAGGGGCGGGCGCGCGCGTAAAAGCATAGAGACGGGCGTTGAGCTGTCGGGCTAGAGCGTCGCCGAGTCGGAGCCGGAGCCCGAGCCGCGCGCTGTGTCTCCGCTGCGTCCGCCGAGGCTCCGAGTGTCAGGGACAAAAGCCGCCACCGCGCCGCTCGCTCCCACCACCAGGGCTCATTCGCCGCCGCCGCCGCCGCCCTGAGGAGAGTCTGCCGTCGCCGCTACCCGTCAGGATCCGAGAGCCATGTCGGCCAGCAGCCTCTTGGAGCAGGTACAGGCCCAACCCGCATGCCTCGGCCATTGTGTGAGGCGAGAGGAGCCCGACTAGGCCTGGGCCCGCCGCCCCAGGTCGGGCCGGGCCGGGCCGCGGCAGCGCCTCCCTCGGGCCGGGTTTCGGGCTTCTCCGGCTAGCCGCACCCCACCTCCAACCCGGCCCGCTCCTCCCGGGCTCCGGAGCCCACCAGCCTCGCCGCGCTCCCTCCCCTCCGCGGGCCTGGTTTTCTTCCTCGTTTCCTTCCCCTTCCTTGAAGCCCGGCTCCCTCGTCGCCGCTGGCGCGTCCCCTGCTTTTTTTCCCGGGCCTGCCGGCCTATCGCTTTCCCCCGCCTCCCGTTTCCAGCCTCCCCCTCACCACCACCATTCCTGACGCCACCCCTTAGGCCTGGTCCTTTATTTCCTTTTCGGGCCCTACTTTCATTTGTCTTTTCCCTTTTCCGTTTCTTCCCGGACAACTTGCTGCTCGGCGACATTGCCTTGGCCCGCAGAGACCTAAAGGTCAAGGGAACAAAGGTAAGCCCCACTCCGCCGGTGGCCCCGGGCCCTCCGGGAGGGGACGAGGGTGGGGTCTGCGGGGAGCGCCCGGGGAGGGGACCTTTCGGGAGCCGCTCCACTCGCAGGTGCCTCCCGCTTTGAGGGTTTGACCCTTTCGGTGTGTTCTTGCAGCTGGCGAACAGCTTTTTAGCTAACAAGGGCTAATTCATTAAGGGTGGGGGTGGATTCAGTTTTGAAATGCCCCAGGTCCTTAGTTTCCTGTAGGTCTTAGAAGGCCTTTGTTTTTCATCCTCGTGGATCACTTTCTGGAAGTAACTCACATGCGATGGGGGAGGGGAAGCGGGAGGGAATTGCTATCTAGAGGAGCCAATAAAATGACCTTTTTAAATCGTCTTGGTCTGGGTGGAGGGAAATATTTTCACTGATGAATGTTGGTCCAGCCTTCACTTTCATCTTTAGCCTTTTGAAGTTCATACTTAACTTGCTGTTTAAACTAGTAAGGTTTTTCTCCGGTTAGGATATATTTGTCTGAATTTAGGATTGGTATCCTGCTAATTTGAATTTTTTTCTTCAGTACAAAATGGATCCGTACATCAAAAGGATGGATTAAATGATGATGATTTTGAACCTTACTTGAGTCCACAGGCAAGACCCGTGAGTAGCTGGCCATTTACATGTCTGATCAAAGAATGAAGTATAGTATTAGTCTTTGTCTGCCCTTTCTGTAAATCTCGGTTTTTTTGGTGGGTCACTTTCTTAGTACTTCTTAATGTGTTTTAAAACAATTATTACAAGTGTTAACAGGCTGTTAAGATTACCAGGTCTCTGTTGTCAGGAAATTGTTTACTCTGAAACAGGACTACTTGATAACATTTTACTGTATACCAATAGTAATACCAGTATAATTGTTCTTCCTTTACCAAGAGTATTGCAATACACAATTTAAGAATACTTTCCAGAATTAAATATTCTGGAATTTCTGCCTCAGAAAACTTACGAAAACTATGTTAGTGCAGTGAGAAATATTTTGATATAAAACCATGTGAACTTCGTTCAGTGCTACAAAACTAGCTGTTCTTCTATTTGGTCACTAGTTAATGGGCTGTTAGTTTATCAGAATTATTTTGGAGTTGAGTATTTGCTATTGGAGCTGAGCTGTTTTTAGAGGAATTTAGTTTTTTTTTTTCCTTTTTTGAGTCAGGGTCCTGTTATGTAGTTCAGTCTGACCTTGAACTCCTTTGTGGTCCATGCTGGCCTCGAACTCTTGATCCTCTTGCGTGAGCTTCTCGAATGAGTGCCTGAAATTACATCCCAATTTGAGTTGAGCTGTGTTTAGTGTCTATAGAAATCAACTTTGTATACCTCTGGCTTCTCACTAAAAGAACTATGGGACTTGGAAGTATAGTTAAAAATACTGTCTGGCACAGACTTAAAATCATTATTGAGATAGGGGTAAGAATTATTGAGATAGGGTTAGGGATAACTTAGTGGTAGAGGACCTGTTGGTGAGTCTGCAGGTTACAACCACAGCATTAAACCCACCCCCCCACCCCCCCCCGAAAAAGGTGGCTGAAGAAATTGTCATATAATGCCATTTAATTTTAAAGTTAGTTGATTGTAGATTTGAATATTGTTTCATATGACCTATCGAAACTTGTTTAGGTCATCAATTTTTCTGTATTATCTCATCCCAAAAGAGTGTCACAAAATTATACCTAGTAAAAGTCATTAAAATGAAGAAGTCCAGAGAATTGACAGTATCTCTTCTAGGATATTCTAAAAGATCAGGATCATGAAACATTTGCATAAATTCTGAGTATGTGATATATGAAATACAGTTGACATTAATGTATATCCATATTTGGGCCTGTTTTTTATGTAAAACTTTCAGATTCCCACTGTCAAGTTTTCTGCATTGGAAATATAGAAACACTTAAGTGATTGGAAATGGTTTCACAGAAGACAACCAGTTATTCAGGAAAAGTAGAGAAGGAAGTAGAGAAATGAACTATTAATGGATTCCTACTATTGAAGTAGTTTGCTTACATAATCATAACAGAGTGTGAACATTTAGAAATGTAATTCTAAGTAGTTTTTGTAAAACATTGTGTAATTCAAATTTTTGAGCTCAAGGGCTTGTGGGAACTTGCCAGTTCTTGTGTGGGGGATTCAGCTTTATCTTGGCATGATCTGAGATATTAAGTGCACTTGGTTTTCTTTTTCAAGCCAAATCTTAACTGTTTAAACAAATGTGGAGGAAAATATAAATCTTGGATGAGGAAAGGTAACCTGAGAAGCTTTTTTTTTTTTTTTTTTTTTTTTTTTGTAGTTTGTCATCAAGAGTAATTCACATACAGTACTATTTATTTATTTTGGTGTAGTGCTGGAGAGTGAACCCAGGGACTCACATACGAAAATTTTCTTTTTTTTTGAGATAGGTTCTCCATATGAACTCACTGTGAACCCAGGCTAGCCTCTTAACTCTCAGTGATCTTCCTGCCTCAGCCTTCCAAGTGCTGGGGTTATAAGCATATTCCATTGTGCCTGGCAGTTTGTGTACCTTTAAACCAAGTTATTTACTGCCCTAATATTTCAAGCTTAATTTTTGACTATAATGAACTTTAACACTGGTAAATTTTGAGAACTTTTAGACTTGAAAGGGTATGTATAGAAAGATTTTTATTTTGTAGTACTAGGGCTTGAACCCAGGGAATGCTAAACTTCATTCCTAGCCCTTTTTACCTTATTTTAAGGTAAGGTCTTGCAAGTCTGCCCAGGCTGGCCTTAAATGTGAACTGCCTCAGTGTACCCAGTAGCTGGGAATATAGATGTGTTCCACCATATGTGGTTTAAATTTAGCTTTTAAGGAAAATTGGCAAAGAAAAGTATATCCAGTTTGTGAAATCCTATTAAATTGAAAAATTTAGTGACTAAAAATTACTGTTAGCCTTGATAATAGTGTAGGGCCTAAGGTAGTTATGTTTATCTAAGTCAAAGCTGTCTATTAACTTTTTTTGGGTATCAGGAATTAAACTCATGAAGTCATGTTTGTCAGGCAGGCATTATGCCACTGGTTCCAATTATGTAAGGTTTTTTGGGGTTAGGGGAGTGGATCAGGAATCAAATTCAGGATCTTACACTTGCCAGCCAGGCAGGTGCTTGTGCAACAGAGCTATATATATATATATATATATATATATATGTATATATGTTTTTTTTTTTTTTTTCTTTGTCTTTTTTCCTTTTTATTGGTACCAGGGATCAAACTCACAATTGCCTGCTTGCAAGGCAGGAGCTTATGCTGCTGAGCTAAATCCTCAGCCCCCAACAGAGCTATACAATTCTAAATACTTAAATTGCAGATTGCCTACCTGTTTTCCCTCCTTCCCTCACTTTTTTCCCTCCCTTCCTTTTCCTCCATTCATCCCTCTTCCCTATCTTTATTTTGAGATCAAGTGTCACTGTCACTAGATTGACCAGCGTTGGCTCAAACTGTCTTGATCCCACCTTAGTCTCCCAGAGTGTTGAGATTATAAGGCATGTGCCACTGCCTTGCTATACTTCATTTTTTCTAATGGAAAACTTAGGTGCATTTTAATTTATAGTCATTAGTTTTATAGTTTAAGAAAAACCTCATTTTAAATTATGTGGAATCCACCAAACATTTCATTTTCAAGTTATAATTTGTGTTATCTGGCGACATTTTTGTATGATTTTTCTAGAAACTAGCATTGTAAACTATGTATAGAATTTTTTTGTTGTGATTGAGGAATGGCTATAGATATTTGGGCTAGTTCTTTTTTTTTTTTTTTTTTTTTTTTTGTCTTTTTTCGTTTTTATGCGTACCAGGTATCGAACTCACGACTGCCTGCTTGCAAGACAGGCGCTTATGCCACTGAGCTAAATCCCCAGCCCCCTAGGGCTAGTTCTTGAAATTTCTTTCTTTCTTTTTTTTTTTTAACCTATTACCTGATTTTGGTAGGAAACTTGGAGTTGAGTCTTGCCATGGAATTCTGGCCAGCTTTGAACTTGGCTAGACCAGGCTGGCCTCAAACTGTCTGTCCTCCTGTGTCAGCCTCTCTAGAGCTGGGAATGGATATACCCTGACCATATCCAGTGTGAAAACTCTTGGAACACATTTCTGATCTTCCAAAATTACCATACCTTGAAACATCATATCTACATTTAATATGGAATAAGATATACTGTTGGTGAAGAAAAAAAATACCTTTGGTAAAATGTTTTCATTTTTAAAAATTATACTACTAAAGAGCCATATTTGCTGCATATGTTAGCTTAATTTTAAATGTTCAAACATTTTGAGGCCAGGCTTGGTGTGCACACACCTATAATCCCAGCACATGGGAGGCTGAGGCAGGAAGATTGCCTCAAATTTGAGACCAGTGTGTGCTATATGGTGAGTTTAAGGCTAACTTGGACTTGATAAAGAGACCCTGTCTCAAAAAGACAAAGTTTTAAATATTTTGATCATTATGCAAAAAAAAAATTTTTTTTTTGGTCTTTTTGGGTCTCGCTACGCAGTTCAGGCTGGCCTTGAGCTTACTTTGTAGTCCAGGCTAGTCTTGAATTTGCAACAATCCTCCCGACTGCTGGGATTACAGGCATGAGCCACCACGCCCGGCTATGCCAAATTTCTTATAGCTCAAAAAACAACATCACACGCACAGACACACATACAAAATGCCAGTACATTTATAGAATGAATTCCCTCCCCCCAGTACTGAGGATTGAGCACAGGGCCATCACACCGTGCTATTATCTATCCTCAGTGTGACCATCACTTTACTCTTTTTTTTTTTTTTTTTGAGACAGTCTTACTATGTAGTTCAGGCTGGCCTGAAACTCTGAGTGATACTTCTGCCTCAGCTTCCCAAGTGCTGGCATTTCAGGTGTGCACCACCATGCCCAGTTCCCCCTTCCCTTTTGATACAGGACTTACATCTATGTTCCCAGGCTTACCCTGCAACAGTTTAGAATGATCATTTGATTGTGCTTTCCTTTTTGGAGTAATGACTGAAATAGTTGAATTGTGTGATTAATGGGGAAGAAATGTGATGTGATTCTTGTGTTGTGATTCATTTGTCTTTTTTTTTTTTCCTTTCACAGAATAATGCTTATACTGCCATGTCAGACTCATACTTACCCAGTTACTACAGCCCCTCCATTGGCTTTTCCTATTCTTTGGGTGAAGCTGCTTGGTCTACTGGGGGTGACACAGCCATGCCATATCTAACTTCTTACGGACAGCTGAGCAACGGAGAGCCCCACTTCCTACCAGATGCAATGTTTGGGCAACCAGGAGCCCTAGGTAGCACTCCATTTCTTGGTCAGCATGGTTTTAATTTCTTTCCCAGTGGGATTGACTTCTCAGCCTGGGGAAATAACAGTTCTCAGGGACAGTCTACACAGAGCTCTGGATATAGTAGCAATTATGCTTATGCACCTAGCTCCTTAGGTGGAGCCATGATTGATGGACAGTCAGCTTTTGCCAATGAGACCCTCAATAAGGCTCCTGGCATGAATACCATAGACCAAGGGATGGCAGCACTGAAGCTGGGTAGCACAGAAGTTGCAAGCAGTGTTCCAAAAGTTGTGGGTTCTGCTGTTGGTAGTGGGTCCATTACTAGTAACATCGTGGCTTCCAATAGCTTGCCTCCAGCTACCATTGCGCCTCCAAAACCAGCATCTTGGGCTGATATTGCTAGCAAGCCTGCAAAACAGCAACCCAAGCTGAAGACAAAGAATGGCATTGCAGGTTCAAGTCTTCCACCACCCCCAATAAAGCATAACATGGATATTGGAACTTGGGATAACAAGGGTCCAATGGCAAAAGCCCCTTCACAGGCTTTGGTTCAGAATATAGGTCAGCCAACTCAAGGGTCTCCCCAGCCTGTAGGTCAGCAGGCTAACAATAGCCCACCAGTGGCTCAGTCATCAGTAGGACAACAGACACAGCCATTGCCTCCACCTCCACCACAACCTGCCCAACTCTCAGTTCAACAACAGGCAGCTCAGCCCACCCGCTGGGTAGCACCTCGGAACCGTGGCAGTGGGTTCGGTCATAATGGGGTGGATGGTAATGGAGTAGGACAGTCCCAGGCTGGTTCTGGATCTACTCCTTCAGAACCACATCCAGTGCTGGAGAAGCTACGGTCCATTAATAATTACAACCCCAAGGATTTTGACTGGAATCTGAAACATGGCCGGGTTTTCATTATCAAGAGCTACTCTGAGGACGATATCCACCGATCCATTAAGTATAATATCTGGTGCAGCACAGAGCATGGTAATAAGAGACTGGATGCTGCTTACCGTTCCATGAATGGGAAAGGCCCCGTTTACTTACTTTTCAGTGTCAACGGCAGTGGACACTTCTGTGGCGTTGCAGAAATGAAATCTGCTGTGGACTACAACACATGTGCAGGTGTTTGGTCCCAGGACAAATGGAAGGGTCGTTTTGATGTCAGATGGATTTTTGTGAAGGACGTTCCCAATAGCCAACTGCGACACATTCGTCTAGAGAACAACGAGAATAAACCAGTGACCAACTCGAGGGACACTCAGGAAGTGCCTCTGGAAAAAGCTAAGCAGGTGTTGAAAATCATAGCCAGCTACAAGCACACCACTTCCATTTTCGATGACTTCTCACACTATGAGAAACGCCAAGAGGAAGAAGAAAGTGTTAAAAAGGTAACCAGCTTACCATTCTTTAAAACTTACAGAATAAGAATTAGATTAGAAGTATTACAGTGAACATTTAATAAGGACTCTGTAAAGTAAGTGTCACTTAACAGTTTAAGGTTTTATAGATGACGTGTAATTGGTCTTAATATTTAAATTCTAGCCTGAAGGAATGTGAGAACAGTAGTGGAGGACAGAAATACGGGGATTAAAGCAGGAACAATAGAGAAAGTGAGGTTGCATGATTACATGATTGAAAAAGAGAATGAAAAAAAAAAAGAAAAAGAGAATGAAAGCAATGCTGAGGGAATTCTTGAGGTAATAGAAATTAAAGTAGGAAAATACTGAGGCTATAGTATGGCAGAGAAAAACATGAAAGTTCTGTTAGAATTAAATTTTAGACTTAGTGTAGGATTTTATGGTTGACCCCCCCCCCCAAAAAAAATTGGTATACTGTTAATCCTGAAATCGGGCAGTAGGCAGTGCTGAGTGTTTTGCAGAACTGCCTTGTTCTATTTTTCATGGTTAATACACTTTTTTTTTCGTGGTGCTGAGAATCGAGCCCAGAGGTCCCATACAAGCTAGGCAAGTGTCCCTTCCACTGAGCCACATCCTGAGCCATAGAAGATTTACTGTTAGTATGACTTTTTGAGATAGGGGTCTTGCTAATGTAGTGCAGGAACTTGGGTTGACAAGAGTCCAATGGCAAAAGCTCACTATGTTGCTGGTCTCAGACTCATGGCAATCCTGCCTTAGCATTCCAAATGCTGGGTTTAGTGGCATGTGCCACCATGTCTGGCTACTGTTTATTTTATAAAATGTGGAAAGCATCAGGAAAGTCTGATCTGTTGATTTTAACATGTATTCTAAAGACTTACTGATTACTCTGTAACAATTTGGAATCTTAGACATAGTGTTGGAAGATGGATCAGAATGAGATAGTTGCATTTATTTCCAAGAGTTTATAAGTGTTTGCTCTGTTGATGATCATGGACAAGAAGGACATTTTTCTTTGAAGATCTGTGTGTTAACAGTTTGACAGAATCCGGAGCTGGTTAGCTTCCAATATAAAGTACTTACCAAGTTTATGTAACAGTATATTACTTAAATTGTCATGAATGCATAAAGGATCTTGTGATTAGGGATCTGAGGCATTCATCATTCCTTTATGAAAACTTAATTCCTTTGAGCAGTAGGAGGAAGGCTATTTTGCAGATTATGCTTGTAGGTGCATAGTTATTTAAAGTAGGAATAGTTGCCATCTTCCATTCAAGTATATACAGATGAGTAAGAAACAGAGGTAAAGGTAGAATTTGTTAGTGATGATAAAAGCATTGGGATGAGTGCCAGATTATTGAAAAGTTGACTAACAGGAAAAAGTATTCTCTTTGGTAGCCCCTCTTCATTGAGCTATATTCTCAGTCTTTTTTTTTTTTTTTTTTTTAATTTTAAAAATGTCTGGGTAAATTGCCCAAGCTGGGTGTGAATTTGCAATCTTCCAAGCTTGCCAGAGTGCTTGGATTATAGGTGTGTGTCACCACACCCAGCTTTGATAGTCCATTAAATTATTTTCCTCCAGAGTTTACTAGATTGATTTAGAATTTGCCATAAACTTGTATTAAATGATAGTGCTTACTGATTCTACTTGAAGGACAAAGGGATTCACCTCCCCCCACACACACACCCCAGCGCTGGTCTGGAACTAGCAAGATTCTTCTGCCTCAACCCTCAGAATTCTGGAATTACAGATGTGCACTACCATGCCCAGTTCTGAAGGACTTTTATACTTTTTCTCAGGCTGCTGTCTCTAGTACAATAAGAAAGGAGACTGGTCTTCGTAGGCGTCAGGTAGTGGTATAGCAGATTTATGAATATGTGCAAGGAACTTCTGCTTGGCTTAACTGGACTTAAAACTTGGCCTTGTTACAAATCTGCTTTCCTTTTTTTTTGCAAAATTTTGTAAAACCAGGAAGGGAAAAATGAAATTTTTTAGGAATACACAGTATAGATGTTAAGATAAACTTCTCTGTGTTAGAACCCAGTGGAGAAAGTGTTTTAAAATAAAGTAAGAAAAACCAAAACCAGTAAGAAATGAAGTAACAAATTGTTACATTATTTTGACATTTATTTTTTGTGGTGCTTGGGATTAAATGTATGGCCTGACACATGGGTAGTGAATACTATATTCCCAGGCCTATAATGACTAGCTGCACTGGTGACCTAGTTGATGACCTTATGCTAGGTAAATGCTGTGCTACTGAGGTATATCTCTAGTCCTCTTGTAGACATTTTTTTTTTGGTGTGGTCCTGGAGTTAGAGCCCAGGGTCTGAAGACTGAACAGCATCTCTCTTTTCACTTACTTTTTTCTTCATATTTTGATTTCTATTCTTTTTTGAGTCTTTTTGAGACAGGGTCTCACTATACAGTTTAGGCTGGCCTTGGACTTACTTTGTAGTTTAGGTTAGTCTTGAATTTGCAACGATCCTCAGCCTCTAGAGTGCTGGGATTACAGGAGAATGCCACCATGCCTGGCCCCTTGATTTTTATTCTTTACTTTATTATTTATTTATTTTTTGGTACTGGGGATCAAACTCAATGACCTCGTGGTTGCCAGGCAGGTACTTATGCCACTCAGCTAAATCTCCAGCCCTTTTATTAATACTGTAAAAAAAATTAATTAATCCAGCCTGTCCTTGAACTCACTGTGTAGCCCACGCTGGCCTCAAAGTCATGCTGATCCTACCAATTCAGCCTCCCAGTTGCTGAAATTACAGGCATATATCACTATGCCCAGCTGTATTAGTACATGTTTATAGTACATTATTCATTATGGAGAATTGGTACTTTAATTTTGAGGTGAAACTCTCACTAAGTCTTCCAAGTTACCTAGGTTTTGCTTAAATTTGTGATCCTCCTGTATCAGCCTCCCAGAGCCCTGGGATTACAAATGTGCACCACCACACCTGGCTCCTATGTTGACTTTTTTTCCCCTCCTTAATAAGACTAGGTCTTGTTATGTAATTCAGGCTGGCCTTGGACTCATTGTAGCCTAGGATGGTCCAAAATTTAAGGCAGTCCTCACTCAGCTCTCAGTGTGTGCCACTGTGTTGACTCTTATCAAGGATATATTTGAACTAAATTCACCAGAGTGACTCAGTGAATGATAATTAAACTTAAATAAAAAATAATAGTTGAACTTTATAAGTAAGTGTAAGAGTCATTTCTTGGAATTGACCAATCTTTTAATATTTTCATAGTATGAGTGTAATAATTGTACCAGTTTAAAGCCATTGTTACAACTGATGGTTAGGACTGAGGATGTACTGTAATGCTAGTGTTTGCCAAGCATTTGCCAAGCCCTGCAAGGTTTGATACCTAGCACTGCTAAAAATAACAACCAGGGTATTTTTCTGAAACTGGTCCATAAACTTCTGATAGGTACCCTGTTTTCAGGGTAGTGAACAAACTACCTGGTAGTTATTTTTTATACTTGTGTCAGATTGGTTTTTTTTTTCCCGTCTTTTTCTTTTTTATCGGTACTGGGGATCGAACACGCGACTGCGTGCTTGCAAGGCAGGCGCTTATGCCGCTAAGCTAAATCCCCAGCCCCCCCCCCCTTTTTTTTTAACTTTTTAACTTTTTATCGGTACTGGGGATTGAACTCACGACCGACTGCTTGCAAGGTAGGTGCGTATGCCACTGAGCTAAATCCCCAGCCCCGTCAGATTGTTTTTTAGTTTATTTTCTGTAAGAAGAGCTGTTGAGGTTTCAGGAAGCTCTTTATAATTGTTTCTAAGGTTGGTTACCAGTTCAGTCAGTATTGCCTTACTCCTGTTGGGTATGACTTTCCTTAGCAACCTTATGTAACTGACTGTAAAGTACTCTGATGCCTTTATTAGGTTTCCAACAGTAAGCTTCATGAGAACAGGACACAGCTCATTGAGGCTTTGGCTTAGGTGGGGAGTTTGCATGTGGTCTTTGTGTTTACAGCATTGTAAGCAAATAATAAGTAGAGAAGCTGGGGGTTTAGCTCAGTGGCATAAAGTGCCACCTTAGCATTCTGAAGATGTCATGTCATAGCTCTTTTGAAGTTTCATGATGGGGTCTGTATTTTTGCAGAACACCCTTGTAGCAGTGGCAGCACCATTTTTGTCCAGTTTTCTTGTTGGGTTATTCTTTCATGCAGTCTAATTTAATATTGTAGACCCTTCAAACATTGTATCTATGTAGCTTGATTTTCAGCACATTTTAGTGAACTTTTCTTTTTCCCTCTTCTCTCCCCTCCCGCTTCCTTTTCCTCTTACTCTTCTCTTCTGTTCTCTTGATGGAGTCTCCTGTGTAGTCCAGGCTGGCCTTGAATTCACTGTGTAACCCTGGCTGACCTCAAACTCAAAGCAGTTTTCCTGCCTCAGCCTCCTGAGTGCTGGGTTTACAGGTGTGAGCTACCACTCCTGCTTTGAGACATCATTTTTGATGTCTGATTTACCAGTCCCTGATTGTTGAATGTCAGCATTCATATTTTATAACCTTTTCCAATTAGAATAGCAGAACAGGGATCATCTTTTTATATAAAAATTTATTTTCATATGTTCTCAGTATTTAACGGCCCAGGAGTATATGCTTTTTGAAAGTTTTGGCATATGGGCTCTTTCATTTTTACATTAAAAATTTTTTTTTCAGTTCTGCAGCTTGAACCCATGTCCTCATTTCATGGTAGACAATTGTCAACTAATCCTTAGTGTGTGTCTTGAGGATTGAACCCTAGAGCCCTAGATGTTTGCACTGATCTACATCTCCAGCCTTTTTACTTTGAGACATGGTTTTGCTGTGTTGCCCAGGGTCCTTTTTTAGTTTCCCAGAGTGCTGGGAAACTAGCACTCCCTGAGAGGTTGAGGCAGGAGGAGCCTTGCGAGTTTGAGACGATGCCTGTCTCCCCAGCCAATTTTATTTTATTATTTATTATGATTTTTTTTTGTCTTTTTCCTTTTTATTGGTACCAGGGATCAAA